AAGAAGAAGAAGAAGAAGAAGAAGAAGAGAGAGAGAGAGAGAAGAAGAAGAAGAAGAAGAAGAAGAAGAAGAAGAAGAAGAAGAAGAAGAAGAAGAAGAAGTAGTGACTTACAAGACTCAGAATGGGTTAAGCAGCTACCTGCCCAAATTATTATCATTCAGTTACTTACAGTGACTGCTTGCAATGCAGCCATAAGAATCTCAGTCTGGCATCAGTCCTCAGGGTTTGGATATTCCCAATTTAGCAAGGCATAACTGAGAAGGAATCATTCATTCATTCATTCATTCATTCATTCATTCATTCATTCATTCATTCATTCATTCATTCATTCATTCATTCATTCATTCATTCATTCATTCATTCATTCATTCATTCATTCATTCATTCATTCATTCATTCATTCATAGCCACCAACAGCTCGAAAAACTAGTGTGGGTGGTGTCACTTCTCTTTAATATAGAAAAGGAAACTTCCACGTGGTGGGATGGATACAGTCCCGATGCAAAGGCAGAGGTGATTTAGAGCCTTCTAAATCAGACCGTCAGCGATACATCAATTCTCACGACACGCTCAGCTAAACCAGGGGAAGACCTAGTGCCTGCATTCACCTAATGTGCAAAATGCATTTTTTTACCGGCCTACCATGTCACCCTGGCCCATGTGGATAGCATTTGCTGCAACGCCTAAGTTCACCAATCAGCCCTAATCCGGTTACTCAATTAAACCATGTTATTGGTTCATATATTACACTTAGTCATAAACTCCCAAAACCATAAAACAAAACAAGATTAATGTAACCAAACTTAGTAGGTTCTGTACATGCAACTGTTAAGACTTTAGTTAACTTGGTTAACTGTGTTGCACAAAGATAACCAATGCACTGTGTGAACACCATACATGGGTAGACTAACAGAAGTCCACACATCTTAAAGTTCCCAAGGTTGAGAAACCCTGGACTAATGTGTTATATGAACACAGCCCTTTGGTGATATTCACTTAGGCTTTGCCTGCTGTCAACTGAATCATTCAGAGTCAGCTACTTAGGCTCTTATTTACAACAATTTCCCCCAACCATGCCTTTTGCTCAGGGGTGCCTGCAAGTGTGTCAAAAAAGTCAAGATGGCAGTATCTTCATAACTACCATCTTCATAGAGTAGTTGAGACCTCATCCCTGGAGGTCTCTTGGTCCAACTCCTGCCCAGAGCAGGCATTCTCAGACCATCCCAGCCAATGGCTGCCCAGTCTCTGCTTGAGCACCTCCAGTGATGGATCCCCATCACTCCTGGAAGCTGGCTGATCCATTGCTTCATAGATCCCATGGTCAGGAAATTCCTCCCTATTTTGAGATTGAAACAAGGTGGCATCTTGTTTTGGTTCATGAAGAAGTTTCAGCTGATGTCTAAGTTCAGCCCAGGACAGGACATTTCTCCTTTCCCTAGACATGAGGGCCAGTGGGTCCCTGAAATAGCACATGGGATACACAGCTGTACCCTGCAGCCGACCTCTGGCACACACCCCCCCATTTCTTTCTTCAGATGCCTAAGACTAAGGTCAACTCTACTATCACCATTCTTCTGTCTATGTTCCCATAGCCATTGTGGGTAATGCAGATGAAATAATTAATTTACAGGTCTTCTAGAAGTCCTTTCACAAGGTGTATTTCCAAGTACTGGTATCCCCTTTCTGAAATAAGACTCAATATTTAGCAGAAAATGCAGCTGATGACTCAGCACAAGTTTAGCAAATTATGCATTTGAGGTGTATTCATTTTTGCTTCTGGTTTTTCATTTGATCCATTTGCAGATATGCAACTCTTCATTGCATAGTTAGCTCAGTTTTGTGACTTTTGATATATCACTCTGTTTTAAAAGATGGGGCAGTATAGATCATACCAATCTGTTGGACTTGTGTGTAAGTTTTGATTCTTTTTTTTTTTTCCTGCACTCAAGGTTGAGCAAAACTTGCATGACTTGCTGTTGCTTCCTAAAGAATTATTCCATGGGGAGGAATTCATGCTTTGCACATCATGAGCACCAGTTCTCTTTGAGCTTAAAATTCAGATCAGAAGAGGACACATTGGTTGGGCCAATATCACTAGTTAAGAGAGTCATCATAGATTTGAGGGTGTGGGTTTTCCATTTTCTGGAGGTTGCTAAGAAATTTGAGCTGTCTTCCTAAAGAAATTCATTTCAATATGTGGACTTGGTTTGACCCTAGAGATGGTTAAACAAAGCTCAACTAATAGCCACTAACCAACTTTGCTTGCAGCTCTTTGCAAATCCAGACTTCCAGACATATCATGGCTATATTCACACCATACATTTAACAAGGTCCCTTCAAGACTGAACTGCTGCATTTCTGCAATGGGGTTAAACAAGTCAACTGCAAATCCAGCAGATATATTTACTGGTTGAGCTTGGGCAATGATAACCTTGGTTAGTCTAAAGGTGTGTGAGAGAGCCTTAGCCAACCATAGCTAGTTTAATTTACAGTAAGAGTATTGTGCCAATCCGAAAATGACTTATTTGGGTAATCAGGTGAAATGTGTGGTGTGAAGCAGACTATAGGGGCAACTTCTTTCAGGTCTGAAACTTCCCCAACATTCAAATCATTTGAACGATGCTGTCCTATTTTATTCAGAATCCAGTTTAGGCTATTGTACATTTTCCATCACCTTCATAAGACATACAGGGTGTGTTCTGCTAATAGTACTGGCCTTCATGCAGCTCCTTTAGGCACAGTTACTCATGAGTAAGTCCCCCTGTATTCAAGGGGGCTTATTTATTAGGGAGGATCCTGCATAAGATGACAGTTCATTGAAGGAAGGGGAGAAACATGCAATTAAATTCTAAACATCTTTGCTGGAACAGATGCTCCGGTTCCATTGAATGGGACTTTACTCACTAATTGGTGACCTGAGAAAGCGTGTGTTTAAGTCTCTCACTGTAGTGGGGAGTGGAGAAGAAGAACGAGTTTCCAAACAGCCTAATTTTCACTCAATAATGCTCCAACCCCCCCAACCCTCTTTTCTTCTGATAAGGAAAAAGAAAAGAACAGATATCTCATTTACTCCTTGCAATTCCAGGATCAAAAAATCCAGCAGAGGTTTCCAAACATTACAACCGCATCTGGTTGCACTTCTCTCTCCCCTGACCCACGCACGCACGCACATACACACCGGCCCCCCTCCCACCAGCCCTGTCTCGCATGGATCAAATCTCTCGGTACCCACCTAATCTTGTGGCAAAGGGTGACTTCAACGTTCTCTGCAGTTTTCTATTTTTTCCCAGATGCTCCAGCTGGATAAGTCTGTGAGAAGTTTTTCCTGGGGGGGT